CTTCCGCCCCGCGGCGCGCCGGGCGATTCTGGATTCTATTCCCAGGTCCGCTTGCAATGCGATTTCCGGGAGACATACTAGGCCCGCAGCGAGTTAACAGTTGAGAGGGCGTGGCGTCCTGTTCTTTTTGAGAGCGGCACTCCCAGCGCCGCAGCACTCGCGACGGGGAGGCGAGGCGGGACGGAGAGGGGGGCGGGTGAGTGTCCGGGAGGGCGATGCAGAGAAGGCAACCTGTTGGTGAGGGATGGACAATGAGAAGAGAGGAAAAGAGTGCGCAGAGCAGGGATCCGCGATTGCATCCCGTGCATCCCCGATTGCATCCCGTTTAGTTTGCTCGTTTCAGCTACGCTTCCCAGTGTAAATCCATTCGCCTTTGGCTACCGTTGAAGTCATTGTCCGATTGCTCCGGTAGTCTGTGTTTGCATCGTTCACGTGCTACCTGCTCTGCAGTTAAACGCATTTAGCTTTTAGCTTCCGGTGAAGTTTTTGCCCGATTGCATCCGAGGGGGAAAGAGAAAACACACGTGTAGTTAAATTACCATCACTATGTGATTGTAAATAATGTTCTTGCGGTCGACTCTAGGAAAATTTGAACTTGTGAACGTGGTAGAGATGTTCGTAATTATGAGTATTATATATATTATATATATGATATATAGATTTATTACTTAATATAATATAAAATGAATAAAGTATTTTAATTTGTGCATATTTTAAGTGGATAAATAAAGTGCCCTTCTCGTTCTTGACAGAATCTCGTGATACATGGTATAAATTTAATAAATTTTTATAAATTAAGAAGTATTCAATTAAGTTTAACACCAAATGAGAAAGCCTTAGAATACTCGATCCTAGCATTACCATCACAAAGTAATACAAAATATAACTATCGTTAATAAGGAGATATTATCATTTTTTTTTGTCTTCCATGATATTTCGAAAATGAAGCAAAGGAGATCAATTATATTAAGCAATGATTAATCTTGATAACGGGGTGGTAATGATAGTATGTCGGCTCGAAAGCGAGGTGTTTCGCTCAAAGGTAGCATCCCTCCTAGAACATAGATAATTTTTTTTAATCTTGGGTCGTTGGGAATTTTCCCCACTATTCTACCTGTGAAACAGAGGCTCGAATCCTCTGGAGTATTCTTACAATTTAAAAAAAAATGTTTTTTAATCTAAAAACGAAGCATTTATAGGTTTATTGGGGATCAATAAATAATTAAAAGATGTTGTCCTTGCTAAAATGTTTTTAATTCAAAAGCAGCTTTCGATGGTTTAGCCATCATCTAATTCAGTTTTGCTCTGATAAAGAAGAAAAACACAAAAAACAAAACATAAAACGTGAATTAACAAGTAAGAATTTATGATAAAGGTTACAATATATTTACAAAATTTTTTGGAAAAATATATTTGACAACGGGAGAAAGAAAAAGTGGGGGGTTAAGCCTTAATACTAAAGAAAGCGAATGAAATAGAATTAGACACGTAAAAATTATTTTTATACGAAAAGAATATTTTTATCTTACCTGCTTAGATGGAAGCAAAAAAACGACTATACGCGCGGGTTCGGCGAGCCGAGGGGCTTAAGTACAGGGCCGTGGGTGGGAGAGGGCATGGCCTGGGTGCGGTGCGCTGTCAGGTGCCGCCCAGGCGGTGTGTGGTGTGGGAAGTTGGTGTCTTAAGTAGTCATCTTTAGGTAAAGGAGAATGACTATTGGTTATGTTTCATTATAAGTTATTATTTAAATGAATAGTGTAGGTTATAAGGTTAGTCTGGTGTGTAGTGGTTTGTCTTTTCAATATCGATTCTGTGTGGTGGATTGATGGTATGGCCTGTCTGGAGTAAATGATTGGCAAAGGTGAGATTTACAGTGTTGTGTTTCAAGAATGTATGTGTTCCTTGGATTATGGTATTGGAAAGTTCTGCCTGTTTGCAATTAATATTTTGGCTTCGCAGTCGGGAATTTAGAGAATAGGACCCGCTTTTTTAGAAGATCTGTGTGTTTTTTGGGGACAGAGGCATTTTTGTTTGGAGGAATTCTGGTGATTTGAATGAAACTTTTTATAGCCTGCTTTGTGAATTTGGGTGCGACTTTTTTGGAAAGGGTCCAAAATAAGGTAAGCAAGTGGACTTGGTGCCGGTTGGTTTTTGTTATGGAGAAAGTGTAGTGTACATTCTTTTTTTTTGTTGACTATTTTGCGGCGTAGTATGTTGTATCGAGTTATGCACTGTAACGTTAGACATATGATGTGTTGTAGTGGGTGCATTCTTCAGAAAATGAGATTTTGTCAGGGGGAGGCTCAGTAATCTGTGTATCATGTAGTGGAAGGCAGAATGTTTATGTCTATTTTCATTCGCTTTTCTTTAGTATTAATGGCTTAACCCCCTCCCCCCACTTTTTCTTTCTCCCGTTGTCAAATATATTTTTCCAAAGAATTTGTAAATTATTGTAACCTTTATCATAATCTTGTTGTTAATTCACGTTTTAATGATTTTTTTTGTGTTTTTCTTCTTGTATCAGACAACTGATGATGATGGCTAAGCCATCGAAAGCTGCTTTTGAATTAAAAAACATTGTTGGCAATGACAACATCTTTAATTATTTTAAAAATGCCAAAGATATCTTACCACAACACCTATATTATTGGATCAAACCAATTTTCGTTTCTAGAAATAAGTTATTATTTTAATTTTTCTTTTGTTTTCACCCTGCTATTTTATTTATAGCACAAAGAAAGACTGATCGTGAAAAATTTGATTTGACTATTCGATTAAAATTTCTTTGAATTTTACACCTGGAAGAGGGATAACGTGTAATAAGTCAATAGGGTCTATTTGTATTGTATTTTTATGTAAAATTTACATTTCCTAATTTTATTATTTTCATTCAAATATATTCAAAATTTATAAATAAATATAATATTTATTTCAAAGTTGGAGTCGTTTAAAGAGTGAAAGTTTCTGTTGCGACACTCCAATTTCCAAGCACACCGATTTAAGGTCAAATTGATTTACTTTTAAAGGATAACACCGTTATGAACTTGAGTTTAATATATTTGTTAGCTAATTGAAGAAATTATAACATAATTACATTATTGAAGTTCTTAAACTTGAAATATTTTCCTTGTATTTTCTAGTTTTACGTATACTCTATTATTTAAATACTAGTCTGTCTCGCAACCAAATATTATGTTCCAAATGGCGTTTGTCCTGAATTAAACTGTATTCAAATACCGCTGAAACGCATCTTGATTTATAAGACTGAGTTTAACACCTTTCCTTTCTTTAAAAATTGTTTGTATTTGAGATAGATCTCTTTAGAAGTAAACGTTTCAATTGTGAAGTGAATGAGCGAAATAAATGAAAATAATAATATCCAGAAATTATAACCAAGAAGAATATTCCGGCGTTGCGGAGTTAATTTTAGTAAACAAGAAACCGACGGTTTCAGCTTTCTTCCAAAGCATACAAAAGATCCTTACAATGTCTTCGGAAACCAACCGATGTCATGTAATTTCAAACTCCGCATCTCGCAGCCAGGTGATAATTATACCTCCCCATCCCGTACAGGGCAAACAGGTCAATACGATTTCAAAACCTGGAAATAGTCAGCGCAATATACCACCAAAAAGATTAGTTGCACTCCATTAGAAAGTGCATCATAAGTTATTTTCTTAAATACCAAGCAGCGCCCCAGAGCGCGTTGATTCGAGGTGCAAAACAGCTGCGTGAGACGTGAGAAACACGGGTGTTGCTCAACAGCTACCGTCTGCAACCCGATCTCGTTGCTTACCTTGAATACCTCAAACGATGTGGTTAGCAAGGGGCGAACGCACAAACAGAGGTAGCTTCGTCTCTGAATGCACCGGGGGATACAAAGGCCCCGCGAAGCGGGCTCCGGTGGATTATTCCCGGAGAGGGCGGGAAGGGCGAGGGAAGACAGCGCGAATAGGGGAGTTATAGAACAAAAATGAGGAGGAGGGCTGCGATAGCGGAAAGATAGGAGAACGGATTAAAAGAGATTTAGAAAAGCGGCTTTGATCCCTGGCGAGAAGGAGGGATTTTAGGGGTGATAAAAATCTTTAATGCGGCTTCCTCTAGGAAGACGTAAAGCTCGGCTCTCCTTTATCGAGGATGTTCTGAAACGGTGAGAAACTTCTCCTTTGGAGGCTTGGATACTCTTGAAGGGGTTAAAGATCCTGCTTCCTTAGTATGGCTACCGGAAAGATAACCAAAGCATTTATTTTATAGTATTTTGTTCTGTGAGTGTCCTGGGTGAGTTTCAGATTTTCCTGTGTATTGAAAATAGCCCTTGTCTCATAATTTTGAAACCACAAATAATAACGTATCAGCATGTCTATATATATATATATATATATATATATATATATATATATATATATATATATATAGCCAGTCACCTAAAGCGGCATCATAACTAAAAGGAATAAAACACTGTCTTCGTTTCTAAAGGAAAAAGCAATATTAACCACTGTTAAATTTTATTTTAACCAGTCGTTTAAAATGTATGATATCCCTTTAAGGTTTGTGACTTAAGATCGTAATTTATTTCACAAAAAACATTGATGCTGTCAAAATACTCCTTTTTTACAATTTCGGGGCTGAATTGCTTTGTTTAAATTTTATTTTCCGATTTCTTTCTACACGTTACGTTTCACCGAAACATTTCATCGGCTTTTAATACTAATACTGCTCGTTTGTTTTCATAGAATAATGCAATGTACACATTTGCAGAGTACGCAATGAAAGAAAAATAGTTGCACGTGGGCAAATGAGACTCACGGGAATATCTGATAATTTTTTGGTTATGTGACAATGTTTCTTGGTCAGCTGAGATTGGTTGAAATTAAAATTAATTTTTTTTCACCACTGGACAGTCAACATATGAGTCAATTAGTGGTTTTCGCTTACTTCATGTTACGCATTCTTGTAGTGTAGATGTGTTTTAACGCGTGTGCCCGTTTTGCGTGTTGCAGCCAGCATGTCGCCCCACATGCAGGGCCCCGTGTTCCTGCAGGAGCCGCCGCCCTGGCTGGAGTTCTCCAACTCGACGGGCTCCATGCTGAGCTGCTCGGCGCACGGCAGCCCGCCGCCCGACATCCGCTGGCTGGACGCCTCCGACAAGGAGCTGGCGCACATCCCCCGTCTCAGGTAGGCCCCCGGCCAGCGCCCCCCCCCCCCGCCACGGCATGGCCACGCCCTGCCCCGGCGCCAAGCGCAGCCTTGGACCGCGCGTTCTTCGTCGTCCGTGTGTTCCGGAGGGTCGGTTGAGGTGCCGAAAATTATTAACAAAATATGTATAATATGGATGCAGATACATCTACGGATATCTACATCAATCTGTATACAAAAAAAGAAAGTGTGCGTATGTGTATCACACACAAACGAAAAAACTCGACTCTTTCTTCTCGACCGATTTCACAGAAATTTTCACCCTTCGTTGTTGTTAATAAAAGAGTGTATTGAATTAAATCGAACAAGTGAAGGCGTTGTTGATGATGGTTTACTCGTTTGTGAACGCAAGCGCCCCTAAACTTTACTCAATCCGCCGCACAGTCAAGGATTAAGCGCTTCTTCACGGCACACAAGTATTTTGCCCCTGCGATTGTGAAATATCGGTCAGAATTATTACTTTAATCGTGGACAAGTAAACCAAGTTTCTCCCAGACAATGCATGCCCAAATTGAGGAAGAACGTTTTACCAATTGGTTACTTGGCATCCACGTCCAAACCAGAACATCGAACAAACCCACACTTTCTCGCGAAAGTCTTTTTTCAATTGGAATTTTTGCACAGAGTAGTGTAAAACATGATTAACAATCAGACCAGTAGTGTGTGGTGTGTAATTCACAGCAATAGCGAAGCATTGCCGGGTTCTTGAAGCATTGCCGGGTATATAATAAACTGTCCAACTTTTCCGGCTAGCTAATAGTGCTCCCCATTCAATTCACACGCTTGCGCGTTAAGAGTGTGGCGAATATGACGTATTCTCTTCGCCGTTTCTAACAAACTCGGCCTGCCTGAACTTTTCTTCGTCACACATTTATAGACACCGAGACGATTTTAAAGGACAGTTACAACTCTATTTTTGCCTCCTACCGGGAATCGAACCCGATATCACACCATGGGAAGCTAGTTTACTGCTAGAGGCTATATATAATGAATAATATGTTATACAGTATAATACATTGAGTAAATTATCCTACATGTTTTCGTATATAGCAATGATGGCCATAACCAGTCTCCTGATTCACTCTTGAGTCAATTTCGTGCGGACTTTGAAAATAACTTTAAAGTATTTCATATTTCAATACGTCATTAGTGTAATTAAGTGGACACTTAACAACATTTATATACTGAGGCTTGCTGCAGTAGGTAGCAGCGGAATGTGGCTCAATATTGATGGGTTCAACGATCTTAATATTCTGAAATTTCGTCGGAAAGCTGTTTGTGACTGGTGAGAATTGCGATGGAAAGACATTTTCCTTCCAGACCCTTCCTTTAGACTCGAGAGTGAGAGTGTTAGTCACTGGATACTCATCATCTCCATGTAGAGACTTAAAGGGGAGTATCAGTCCCATGATCATTTGCGCTCACTTAGACACTGGAGAATGGTGTTACTTTTTGTGCAGTTCTGCTATTTTAATAGAGTTTAAGCCTAATTACTGGTATTTTAACAGTAACCGTGACGTCTAAAATGTGCAAATATGAAGAGGAGAATCCAGCTAGTGCAGAATGGAAGGAATTTTTTTAAAGAAACGGTAATCCAATTAGTCAAAAAAAGTTTCAGTTCAAGGCCAATATTCTAAGACGCTTTCAGGTAACTAACCATAGATTTTTCATTATGGATTTTACTTTTGAGTCATAGACTGAAAGATGAACCCTTTACGAAGGGGTGCGATCACAATTTGATCATTGCTCCTTAAGATTCTAACTTGTAACATGAATTAGATAATATCTTAAGCGTGAATAAGTAAATGTAAGCTGAATGTTTGGTTACGTTATTTCTTTACCCTAGTGACCCATAGACCCTTGAAATGTCACGAACAAAACGTTTCACATGCCCAACAAATATGTTCCCGGTACAACTCCGCTTAGATACATTTATGTTTCTCGATAACTGCTTATCTTTGTCTAGTCCTTTGTCAGTCTCTCCCCACCGGTACTTCATCCTCAGTCCTTCGCTCTATATTTTTCTCCTCATTCCCCCGCAACTAGACTTCCTTCGTCAGACCCTCCCATCAGTGACTCCCAAACTACCCACGTAAATCATTTCCAATCAAATCTTCCCTGACATTTCTCGATCAACACGTGATTCTTCTTTAGTGACTGATTACATTGAAAATTCGTAAGCTTACATATATGCTTCTGATATTATACACAGGTTTTGACCTTTTAAATTAATGTTTTACAAGGTCATTTATTAGAATTTAATTTTTTGGAGATATTCATTTTTATAAGAATGCGATATTTAATTGATGCTGGACGTATTTTCTACAATTATCATGTAATAACATCATATTCTTCGTTTAAAAGGTAAAAATCTGATAATGACGATAACTAATAATATGATAATACAATTATCATATAGCATTGACAATAATACTATAAGAAATAGAACTTCTCTTAACTACAATTCGGCAATATATCTAACAATACCGAAATAAAATAACCCGTATCAATAAATTGAACTAAATATTAACATGTTTTGCCATATCCATAGCAATATACTGTTTCCATCCCTTCAGGTAAGCAGGATTTGACGTCGACTATATCGGTCGAACGACTTACTATTAATTGAAATCCAGCGATATATCGCAAAACATCGAAGTAAATAGTCCGCATCAATAAACTGAGCTAAATATTAATGGATAAAACCGTATCCAAAGCAATATACCGTTTCCATCTCTACAGGTGGGCAGGATTCGACGACTATATTGGTCGAACGACGTACTGTTAATTGAAATCCGGCGATATATCGCAGAATATCGAAATAAATTATCTGCATCAATAAACTGAGCTAAATAATAATAGGTATCCAAAGCAATATACCGTTCCCATCTCTACAGTTGAGCAGGATTCGACGAAGACGCTATCGGTCGAAGGACGAAAATGGCGGCGCGTGGGAAATGCGGTAAATTTGCAGAATGAAGCTGCGACAGCGCGCTGCCGCGCGGCGCCGTTGCGTCGTCTTCTCTTTGATCGCGCGTAAACAGAGGACTCACGCACGAGCGTCCTCCGCCGGTGCCGGCGCCATCCTCCTCGTTAATTGGATTGTAGCGCACACCGCACACAGGTTCGACTAGTCACCGGCTGTTTAATCACAGATAACGCCATCTGCCTTTCCTTCCCGCGCGGCGCGCCCTTCCTCCGGTCCCGGTCCGCGTCGCTACCCGCTGTGGAGGCGTTAGGGCCCATTCACAATGCAAACATAATGTAAGCATGGCGTTAACATAAAAGTTAGGATTACGTCCATACGCGGACTCATTCACAGCGCGTTCGCTCAAGCATAACACGTAAGACGTTAACTTAAACGCTTGCAAGCTTCAAGCTTCTGTGCTTATGCATACGTAAGACATAAGATATGAACCAATCACAGAAAGGTAACTCAAAATCCAGAATCGAAATTGGAGCGCAGTAGATAGAATAACTAACGCCATATAGGAGCCATACACCAGTATGTCTCATAGCCAATAGAAACTCTTATTTTGCTTACGTTTATGTTAGGCGTTGTGAATACTTCAGTCTATCACTTATGTTAATGTTTACGTCAATGCGTTCTGCTTATGTTTACGTGTGCATTGTGAATGGGTCTTTAGCCTAAGAGGGACTTGTTTGACAGGTCGTAAAGCAAAAGAAATGTGAGACGATGGCATTGCAGGAAGATATCTTGAAGGCTTGTAAAAGTGAGCCAACTGCCAACGAACGCGTGATTTAACGTATTAGCACATGGGCATAGCCTAAAGCTTTTATGCTACCAGCAGTAGCTGGTAAAGTGGTCCCTTCCTATAATCCACATCAAGATGGCACGGCGGGTCTGCCTTCCTCGTCGGCGTCTCCCTTGTCTGGATTCTGATCTTTGGTTCAGTGCGTGCTGTGTCGTTGTTGGGATCTTAACCCGAAGAGGCAGTCCTACGTGCGAGTATATTTTTACAAAGAGTTAATGTTTGTATGCATATGAAATACGTAGAGAATGGTTGCCGTGTTTAGATTGCGGAGGTTTGAAGAGTCCACTCCAAGAGGGGTCCTCTCCCACATCCCAGACCACGCCACCACCCGCTGTAGAATGATTACTACAAGAAGAGAATGCTTTGAACTCTATTGCTGGCAACATAACTACAGGATATGTCCATGCTGAATTAGTCAGTGAGTTCCTTTACGTCAACTCACTTGTAAGTGGCTTCATTACTATATCTTGCAATGCCATCTACCTACGCGTCATTCATTTGTTTCGCGCCCTGTCAATGTGGTCCCTTCTCAGAGTAACGTCTCTATGCCAAGGCGGCGAAACTGCTTTCTCCTTGGTGCCCCTTTGCCGTGGTTCTCGTCCTTGGTATGATCTCGTCGTTGAGATCATTATTCGAGATGTATTACGCGAATATATTTTTACGCGAATATATTTTTACAAAGAATTAAAGTTTGTACGTACATGGATTACGTTGAAGATGCGCTGTTTAAATTGCCGCAGTTTGAAGAGTTGTAAAGTATAACTATGACTAAAGTTGCGTGATTAAGTTGACTACTTCAGTTAGTAAAATCTCCGTAAAATGACGGAAAACGTAATTCCATAAAATGAAACTTTTAAAGTGAGTTTATAGAAAGTTAGTTTTAATCCAACGGATATATGAAAGTGAATTTCCACGTAATTTGAGTGGAAATAATGTAGTGGCACCTGAGCACATGAAAGTAAGTTTTGTGTAAATTTTGGCGTAAAATAACTTTAAAATGTTATGTTTGTTGTACTCAAGAAAGTTTTTTGTTAATCGTGGAGGCTGAGAGTTACTTTTCTAACTAAAGGGAGTAAAATTTGCCGTATGCTTTGTTAAAAAACAGATAATTTAACTCAATCACTGTCCAACTTAATTCATTACCAGCGTTTATAAGATGCATTGCAAACGTTTTTATTTATGTACGCATATACTTCAAATTTATAAGAAGAGATCTCGCACCCCCTTTCGTTCTGATGGGTCAATTGTTTCCTAACCGTGATGAAACTCGACGACAGGAGCAAACTGCCGTTGCCTACGATGGCTTCCGATGTTTCCACGACCTGAGGTAATTGTTCTTTCTTCTGATGGTACCTCGTGCGGCGAACTGGAATCGTCCGCCCGGATGCCCCGATTTTCAGTGGTACTCACATCCTTAGTGTCGTTGTGGAAGGCTCTGCCACCACTTGTGGAAGAGCACCAGGACGATAGGGAGCAGAAGAGACTCTCCGGGCCGTTACCTATTATTCTATACACCTACGCGTGGATGAGAAGGTGCAATGAGAACAGGGATGACCCAGGTCTTGGCAAACGGTAGTTTATTGGGTTTAATATTACTTACATCGGCCCCTGACGTAGACGAGCCTCGTCGAGGACGGTCCTAGAAGAGCGACTTTGCCGCGCCCATCGGACGAGTCCGCGACTCTCTGAATGCATGGCGGTCTGGAGAGAGGGAGGAGAATTGCTAGCACAGCCCTCGAGGGTCGGTCTGGTGGAGTGTGGGAAGGGCCAATGAGGACCGATCTAAACCGACGGAGGGGTGGAAGGATGTCGACAATGTCAGTTTGGGCCAAACTGAACAAACTAGGAGTGGAAGGAGGTCGGCAGGGTCAGTTTGTACAAGTGGAGTTCAAGCCGTCATATAAGCCTTTAATGCTGCTGTCGGCGGCCACACAATACTTAGCAAACAGCACGGAACCAAATACTCTCTCAAAGTGAGGAGAGGGTATCGGGTTCCGTGCTCTCCGGATATAATAATCCACGTGGTTCACTTGGGTGCATGGCTACGTCGTGGCAATGCCCGTGAGAATTGAGAAGAAACTTGTCCTCTACGCAGTGAACGGCATAAACAGCTCCAGTAAAAACCCGGAAAGTCGGTAGTCTGGAGCTGCCAAGACGATCTCACACTGACCATGTGTAGATATGTGTGCGATTTTCGAGTTTCAGCAACGCGTTCCGACTTATTCTGATACTCGCCCAACGGTTTTCTGGTACATCTAGGGAGTAAAATCGTCCTGGAGTTGACAAGTTGTGTAGGTTAGTAGGCTTACTGATCCACATAAGGCTTAAACGATTGTAACATGTCAAACGAGGAACGGCCTTCTCAATAAGAGAGCTGTAAGCTACATGGTGGATCCTCCTTACATGCGCACACGCACTTTGGGCTTATTGCGAGCGGTAGAGTTCAGGTGTAAGAAGAAAGAAGATGGAAGCACAAGAGACTGAATCGGATTTAGGAAATTGCTTACTGTTATTTAAATTGGTCATGTCCCGTGAAAAATTAGAAGAATTTAAGAAAACATGCGTGCGTTAAGCTACCTGGCAGATTGGTATTGGGTAAAGTCCTCAGGATTCAGTCTACCTTATTGCGGCTCAGCCGGCGCCGTGTATTGAATTGCTATGCGTTCAAATCCCTTGTCTGTGACGAAATTGTAACAATTTTCTCTATTTCATCACTTCCATTTTCTATTTCACTACAACATTTGCGTTGACCACCCCTGTATTGTCTTCAAAATGTACTCGTAACATCACTCGCCTTCAATTCCGCCTCCACCGTCACATTAATAATAATAATAATAATAATAATAATAATAATAATAATAATAATAATAATAATAATAATAATGTCGGCCCCCTGGCGCAGACGGTTGCGGCAGCCGTCGTCCGTGCCGAGGAGGCTGCAGGTTCGAGTCCTGCGTAGACATGTCATATTTGTGATTGTCCCTTCACCCCTCATCATCAACCTATCATCTCATAGTTCACACCTCAAGGCGTAACAAACTTGTTGTAATGCAAGGATACAGCTGAAAAGCTGATCCTGGAAGAATTACACACGTTAATCGTGTAGCGGTGTCAGTAATGGCCTATACGCAAAATAATAATAATAATAATAATAATAATAATAATAATAATAATAATAATGCCTTTATTAATGGCGAGGCTCAGGCCCTAGGGCTTGCTCTTCCGCCTAACCACTGAATTTACATGCATTTAGAGTAGTAACATTTTAAGAGGGGAGGACAAGCTGTACATTTACGTCTGGGAGAGCAAATCTAGGTGCCACCCCAGCATACGTCTTAAGCGATTGAGTAAACCCCGAAAACCTCAATCAGGATGGCGGCCAAACATTATCAATCACCTTAGGGCCGAACATTATCAATCACCTTCACCTTCATCTCCAGCTTCACCTCCAACTTCACCTTGTCCTTCACCATCTCCGTCACCTCCACTTCGACTTTCACCTCCTCCTCCACATTCACTTCTACTGTCACTTGCACCTTCACCTCCCTCTCCACCTTCACTCTCACCTCCACTTTCACCTCAACTTTCACCTCAACTTCCACCATCACCTCCACCTTCACCCTCCGTCACCAACTTCAAAGCTCACTCTCCCCATCCCATTCCCGTGCTCACATCTTCCGACTCCATCACCTCTTCCCACCTCCAACGTCTCCAGCTCGCCCCCCCCCCATTCCACACCGCTTACGAGGCGATACGTCCGGATGCTGAGCGCGCAAAAGAAGCAATGAATTCGCGCGGCGCGGAACGGCGCGGAGCAGCGGCGCGGCGCGGCGGCGGCGTCTGGCGCGAAAGCTACCAATTAACACTCGAGCGAATCCGAACCGACGGCGCGGAAGAAAATAATTAACGCCGCTCGTAACTCGTCCGCGCCGGAGCGCCCTCCCTCCGTCCTCGCCTCGCGCCCTCTGAGGACGGGAGGGGAGGGGGGCAAAGGCGCCCGGCGGCGGGGAGGGCGATTCGCGAGCAGCAAACATGTTGTGACGGCTTTCTCGAAATCGGGTGCAGCGCCGAATGATTTTCTCAGTTGGCTAATCGAATTGCCTCGCTAAGTGGGGCGGGACGAGGGTATCAAGTGCGTCTGTGCGCCTTCAGCCGACGGAGGAATGGGAACTAATATTATGAGGGTCTTTGTTTGATCGAAGGATTTGCTGGCGCAGGTTTTCCTGAACAGGTTTAATGAGTTTCGGATTGTGATGCTAATTGTTATTTCTCGGGCGGGGTAATTTTATTTCTTGTTTAAGTCGGGTCTGTGTCTTTGGAAGAAATGCTTTGTTATTGAAGTGTGATATTTTCTTTTCTTATCAGTTTAGACGGTACGAGTGAAACATTTATCGTTAAGAGATCTATTTACTTGAATAGCGTTAATATGTTAAAGATTAAATAAAGATTGTAAGTAGTACTTGAATCAACAGGAAATTGAACAACTGTCTTGAAGTCATATACGATTATAGGAGCATCAGAAAAATCTATTTAAAACCATATTGCCTTGATTTAACATGAGTTTATTTCTATTTACCGGCCAAGATTCATGCTGGAAACATTTAGTATGCTTTGCAATGATTATGCCAGATATTTAATGTCCTTTCCTACCATTAGTAATAGTATCCTTTTTAATCTTTATTGGACATCAACGAAAATTTCAATTTTTTCACATTATAATATTAATTTCAGTGTGTTGACTGATTTGGTCGTAAAAGATTAATACACAATAATCTACAATAAAAACAATGCGTATTACTTTTGCGCTTATTTTTTGTTCTTTTTATCAGATGTACAACATGTTAAGGAAATGTCAGAAAATATTTTTTGAGACACAAGTTTTCGCAACTTGAAGAAAAGTAGAGTGATGATTTTAGAAAGATGAGACGCTATCTGCAAACTATTTTATCTTATTTATCTTTTTAAAAGCTTTGAGGCAATTCCTCAAAGTTTCTTCCGTGTGGTGCAATCCCAACCGACGAATTCCAGCCGCACTCTCTATAGTGCATGTTTGGTAATAGTACCCATAGTGTCTTTAATAGAAGTCAAAACCATAGAAAGTTACAGGAATTTCTCGGGGAAATATGGGTGACTCTCAGTGTGATAATCACAATTGTGTGTTTCATTTTCAGTTGGCATTTTCGTAGTGACATTTTGTTTTTGGAGAGTACACAGGAGTCAACAATATTGGTTTTTAATTACATATCATTTGGTTAAGTAGAATAAAAAAGCATCTGAAAATGCATTGGATTAAAGAGGAAACAAAAGATAATTTCATTTCTTTCTCTTTATTTAACGTAGACATGGCTTTTCCTCTGTCAGTTGTAACTCGGTGAATCAGAGAAAGCGGACGTTCTTTGTGCAAACTCTTGTTAACACCTTCCGTGAGCTCAACAGCATGCAGCTTAGCAATTCCTGAAATTGTGTCCAACTCTTTTCTCGGATGCTCCTCTCTATCTGCTGGCGTACTTTGCTCGCGGGAATCCTTTGTAAAGCAAGGTACTACGCAATACAATCTCTTTGGGCTCCTTCCACCACATTGCTATGATTGGTTTCATGTATTCTTGCACTATTCATGAACCTAGGAAAAATTTTATTAAGTGTTGTTGAATATTTTAAATTATGAAAAGTAATTATTCAGGTAATGTATCTTTACGTTCTAGAGAAAGTATATGTATAAAATTGAATAGAAATCATTTTATACCTCAAATGCCTCGGTTGTGTAAACCGTTTGAATGATATGAATTTCAAATCAATTTCATTACTTAAGCGAGTGTCATGTTATCATTTCCACGACATTATTCTGTACTGTGTGTAATTAGGTTTATTAATCGAGTTTATTAGAAACTCCTCACAACGCCGATCGCCCCATGTACTTCAATACTTCCATCATCGTGCGTGTTCCGATTGTTATTG